AAACTTTTCCCTTAGCAATTGAAAAGCATGTTTGTTTTTATTCTGTGTGTTTTTTTGCCAAAAGGAAATGGCATGAATCCATTTAGTTTGCATTTTTAAACGAGGCTATTTAAAAATATTTTCAAGCTGTTAATTTTCACTCTACTATTTTCACATATGCTTTTTTCATAAAAGCATTTAATTTTTGTTCCTACAGCAAGATATTAGGACAATAAAATTAAGAAATGAGGCACACAACTGTAATATTAAGCAAAGGCTCTTAGAAAAAGTATAATAAATCCATACTACAACTTTTATAATGTTTCTTTTACATTTTTTGGGAAATGACAGAAAAATATTCAGGCCCAGACCATCTGTGCCTTTATTTTGACTTATACTCATGAGAGACGGGAGTACATGTATTTCATGTGTCTTATCTCTGGATCCCCATCTTTGGGAACAGAGATGGGTAAACTATGGTCCATGGTCCAAATCCAGCCTCTGCCTGTTTTACTGGGACACAGTCATGCTTGTCGTTTATGTAGTATCTATGGCTGCTTCCTTGCTTCCATGGCAGAGTTAAATAGTTGTGACAGACCGTAGAGCCCACAAAGCTTAAATCTGTTTCTTTACAGAAAGAAATTTGCCAGCCTTAGTCTCAAATAGTGCCTGGCACATAGCAGGATCCCGTCTATACTTACAGCATGAATACAAAGGTAATAAAATAATGCTAGCTCACATAAGTGTTCAGCATTTATTTGCTCGATGCCATGAACCATGCTAAACACTTTATATGCATTATTTAATTTGAAGTTCACAACAGTGTTATATAAGAAATTAGGTGTATCTTGCTTCCTTACCTCCTTCAAGTTTTTAGTCAGCTGGCACTACCTCAGTCAAGGTTTGCCTGAACACCCTATTCAAAACTGCAGACTCCTACTTTCTACCAACCCCTTTGTTTATTCTATAGCACCGTATAACATATCACACATATTACTTATTTTGTATGCTCATAATAATGTCTACTCTATGAGTACATTTGTATGTTTACTTACTGCTGAATCTCAGCCCACGAGTAGCCTAGATTGGGGCTAGTGTATAGTGAGTGCCCAGTGAACATTAAGTGATCAGAGAGGACAGATAACTTGTGGGAATACCCAGGTAAGGTCTGGCTATGGCCCCATGTCATACATCAGAGCTCATTCTCTTACTCTCTTGCCAAGTTTTTCAAAGATGTAAACATAGCCATTCCATTATTGAAAAATAAATTCTAGGCCTTTTTTTTTTAGGTCATTTTTGACCCTCTAATGTTGAGATATATTTTACCTAATGATTACCATCTCAAAGCAGGTGCTTTTTGAAGATTTACCCAGATCACTACACTTGGAAGTGGTTGTTATATCCAGATGCAAACCTTCAAGAAGGAAAGAGGCAGGACGGCATGGAACAGCAACTGGACCCAAGAGCAAAGACACATGGATGAAAAGGCCCGGGTAGAAGAGCCCTCAGTGGGGATAAGCCAACTCCAGTTACAACAGCTCCAGCCCAGCAGGAACCTCTGGACACAATGTGAGCCTGGTGTGGTGAAGGTGGGTTCCATGAGACTAGCTATCAGGCTGATAAAGAGGATTCCTTTTCTGACTGTTACCTAATAAGAGGTAAGTTTTCTGAACCCATCCTGGACAAGGACATACTTCTTACGTCCTTCAACTACCTGAAAGAAAGATCAGAACATGAGCTTTCTTAATGTATTTTTATAGCAAGCTCGCTTGTGAATGTTCTTTGCAAAACACACACACAAAAGAGCTTCCTCAACAGACTGTTGGAGAGAATTCATTTGTTGAGTTTTCTGAGTACATGACAGACAAGCAGCTTCCTCCTGGAGGAATACCCAGCACTAACTTATCAGATCCTAAACAGGCTGCAGCATTTGCTGGAAAGAAGCCAAGAAAAAAAAAAAAAAAGACTATGATGCTGCAGAAAAAAATTGTCCTCAGAGTAAATGCACAAAGTAGTTGAAGAATAGAGCTTCTCTGAGAAAGCATCTCCTCATTTATGGTCCCCAAGATCGCGTGTGTGCAGAATGTGGGAAAGTATTCAATGAGAGCTCAAAACTAAAAAGACGTTTTCTGATCCATACTGGAGGGAGGCCCTTTCGGTGCACTTTTGAAGGGTGCAGAAAACACTTTTCCCTGGACTTCAACTTGCGTACACATGTATGCATCCAACTGGGGAGAAACGTTTCGTGTGTTCTTTTGAAGACTGTCACAAGAGGTTTGTTCAGTCAAATAATCTGAAAGCTCACATCTTAACTCACAAAATGAAAAAAGAATCAATGAAAAAGATGGAAAATAATCCTTAGATGGCTAAGCATATTAACAAAAGAGTGATTGGGGACAAATATATCTCATTAATTATTGTTTACAGCAAATAATTTATGAAGCCATATTGCAACCCTACAAGGCATATTTTTTAACGTTACTGATGCTCCTATAGGTTGTGATAGCTTTTAAGAACATCGTGTACAGAATTGTAGCATGCTTCCAGCAGGAAGATCAGTAATGAATTCACTTCAAAAGCATAATCTTTAATACATTGCAAATTGGATTATTGGATATGGGCTTATTTTCACATACCATAAATATGAAATTAACTTTGGTTTTTAAGTTCGTCATTTTCAATTGTTTAACTTTTGCCTTTTAGGAATACGCTTTGTGCTACATATGATAATCCTAAGAATGAAAATTTTACAATAGATCATTAATAAGTGAATGAGTAGTTAAACCTTTTAAAAAGTTAAATATATTTTTTAATCATTTTTTAAATTATTGTATAAAACTATTGAAATCATATAGCTCTATGTGAGTGGTAATTTGATAGTGTCAATCCATCTGAATCACTTAATATTTTCAAATAAAAGGAAATAAAACCCCAGAAATATGCTATTTCTAGACTGAAAAATCAAAATGTGCATTAAAGAGAGATACCATTTATTTGTCCTTGAAAATAGCAAAAGTTGCAAAGATTGATAGTTCAGTACTGGTGAAGTGTGAAGGAAAAGTTGCCCTTCTATTTTTGGTTAAGGTATAAGTTGTTACAACCATTTTTGGAGTATTTAAGCCACCATGTAGTTGGTTTAAACAACAGAAATTTATCGTCTCATAATCCTGGAGGCAAGAAGTCCAAAACTCTGAGGGTTGTGAAGGAGGATTTGTTCCAGGCTCTTCTTGGTTTGTAGATGGCTGTCCTCATGTCTGCATGATGTTCTTGTCACTTCACTTCATTTTCCCTCTGTACACGTCCACGTGCAGATTTACTCTTACCAGGATGCTAATCATTGCATTAGAATCCACCCTAAAGACTTCTTTTTAAATTTGATTACCTCTGTAAAGACCCTATCTCCAAATAAGGTCACTTTCTGAGGTAATGAGTTAGGATTTCAATATGAATTTCTGACGATACACAGTTCAATCTATAATGTACATTCTTGTAGACCCAATAATTTTATTTCTAGACTTCAATCCTATAGAAATATTTATACCAATGTACAAAGATATGTGTTCAAAGATGTTAACTGAAACATACTTTAACAGTAATAAATTCATAACTTAAATGTCTATTAAAAGGGAACAAATCATATAAATAATGATACCTCTATTCAATAGAAGATGTGAAAATATCCTTAATGAAAGCTTGGCTATAGAGGGAAGGAAAGAGGACCGTAGTTAGAGAGAATTCATAGAATAGGAGGAAGTTGTTTTTAATAGATGAATCAGAATCTTGTGTATTTATATGTTGTGGAAGAAAATTTAGAAAAAGTGGTTAACTATTCTGGATAAGGGGGGAAATTGATTGTACAGAAATACCTGGTAAAATAAAACAATAGGTCTAATATAGAGATTAACTTATTTTTATGATTATAAACTGAATTCCTCATTATAATCAACTTATAATAGGCAGAAAATGTGCAGCTATTTAACTTGGAATGCATTTTTCCCCATAGTCTATATTATAAATAACTAGATATTGTTAGAATGCCATATTTCTTTCACTTTAAGATTTAAGATGCCATTGGAGATAATGGTAATATGTACTGTGAATTTACCAGCTTCTAGGGAAAAAAAAGTCACACTATATACAGATAAACTTTGATTAATCTTGATTTTGGAAATGCCAAAATGTAAATACATGTATGGCTTAAAAACAAAGAAAAAATCAAGGGCTTACGTTTTGACCTCAGAATGAGGTAATTGTTACTATAGACTACTGTGGAATTTTGATTTTTTAATTGATAATATATTTAGTATGGCATTTATGCCATCATTTCTATAAGAATGTGGGTCTTGCGTCTCTATTAAAAGGAATGTTTGATAAATAATCCATTCATAAGTGTGGAATTTCCTCTAAATCAAATATTCAAGTATAATATTTAGGATGGGAATGTGGTATTTGATTAAGATAAGGGAGTATATGTTTGTGTGGTTTTTGCTTTGACAGCAGAGTTTGCTTTAGTCCTCTATAGCTTTCTACTTCAGAGTTGAATTAGGACATAGCACCTCTGAAGACTAAGGAAAAGGTGGGATTAAATAGAAAGCAATCAAGAATAGGTAAAATCAATGGCAGGATTTAGGCTGCACACTCTTGAGACCTGGGACTCAGGACATCAAGAAGGATCAAGATCGCCTTCTCTTGTGTGGAAGCTGCTTTATTTTGAATAGCACTCTTTCTGGAGCTGAAGAGCCAAAAGCTCAGCATTTTTAACCCTAAAGTTTAAATGTACAAGGAAAGGAACACCAATCTGATAAAGTGCTTGTATATCTGAATTTCAAGTCTTAGTTAAATTCTGACTTGAGAATAGGATGCTACTTGGCTAGCTTCTTAGGTGTGTTTTGTTTTGTTTTGTTTTGTTTTGTTTTGTTTTGTTTTTCACAAAGAGGAATCCTAAAACTGGTCAGAACGTAAGAGAAAGAAGGCTTGTGGCTGTAATGGAAAAAATAAAGGGAAAGGAGATTAGATAATGATGATATGTTAACTGAAATCTTTACTAACGTTTTAGAAAAGAGATGGACATATGTTTTCCACATACGTATTTTAGGTAAGAAGATAAACACAAGATGTGTGAACACATCCAGAGAAAGCTGAAAGAGGAAATCGTTCCATCTAGATTTTACAGTTTCCAGATACTGGCATTTTACAAACCCCAAATCCTAATGAATGGATACTTTTGTTTTCATGCTGGATTTGGGATTCATGGCCCATTTTCCTTTATTTTAAATAGCCAGAACACTATCAAAAGGTAAGATTAGATAAATGCTTTGTACAAAAGACTGAAAATCTTGAGGCAGAGCCCATCATTTTCTTGATATTACTAATATATAAGGCATAGTTAATTAGCAGTTAATAAATTATGGAATGAATAAATGGAGAAAATACAGCTTAATATATTTTTTGAAACATAATAGTTATCAAAATTATGTATACAGTTCAAAAACATAAAGTATTACTTGTTTCTACACAAAATCTGGTTACTGTGAAATAAAGCTAAATAACTTTATTAAAGTAACACATGCTCACTGAAAGAAAAAACAAGTATGTGTTGATTACTGAGGCATACATTAACTCTTACCAAAAGTAATCATTATGCTTAAAAGACTTTTAAAAATTGCTACATTGTTTATTTTTATTAATAATGAAAATTATCTTAAATTTCATTACTCGTTTTTTAAAAATTTCTTTGTCCTTTAAAAGTGACAAGAGACTGAGGGTCTGTTCACCTACTAATATCTTGGATAATAGATTACTAACCTGCATTGAAATTTTTATCTAACAAGACTGTGATTGAGTAGTTAAAGATATGTCAAACCATTTATATTCTTACTATACATTAGTGTCTTTTATTTTATTCTTTGTGATATGTGCACAGGTCTCTCAAACACTCATATATGATTTCTGTATTTTACCTTAGCTATAACATACATTGGTGGACATAGGATTTCTACCCTATTCTATCCCAAAAGAATTCTATCCGAAAGCACATTTGTAATACATTACTTTTCTACCGAATATGCATGTGTAGAAATTTGTGTTTTAATTACCTAATGCACTAGCTCTGGCTGAATAAATTGCATGATTACATCCTACATTGGACACAGAACAGTGCAAGTTATATTAAAAAGCCATTATATTTGCAACTCTGAGCAAGAGACTATAATTAAAAGGCAATTGGATGAAATTAGCTTTGAGAGTACAAGAGTTTAAGTAGAATTTAGTAAATGAACATTAATGGTTAACATGTGGTTTTTATTAGGTCTTTTGCTTCTTCTCTCTATGACCTCAGAGTTGAATTTCTTAGATGTCAGTGGACCAGACATGTGAAAACACCTGCACAAAGCCATGTTTCACCAGGCAGCTAAAGTTATATCCATAAAAAAGCCAACATAACTTTTGTGACTTTAGTAAATCAAAGGTATTAGGTAGGCTAGAATGATACCCTAGGCATTAATAAATTATTTTTAATACTCTTAAGATCTCAGGTATGTGTCATAAAAACCATAGTACATGTTTCCTGTAACTCACAATATTGGTCATAAAATACACATGTACCAATCAAAAAAAAAAGTAATAAAACTAGAGAATTTTGATTATTCTGACCATTAAATAAAAAGTTGTGAAAGTTATACACAATATGTGTAAAGGCACCTCATCTTTGTTTAAGGCAGCCAATACATTTGTAAACCGCTGAGGACTCAGCATGCACTTTGATGATATTTGTGTGTGGGGGGGGTGGGTAGAAATCTTTGGGTTTATCAGGTATATAGGCTAATAGATGTTATACTTATGGCAGATTAAAGATGGCTGCAAATTCTGTACAACTCCTGCTATTGAGAGTTAGGGTCTATTGCCCTTCCCCTTGAGTCTTGGCTGGTTTGTGAATGCTTTGATTAATAAAGTATAGAGTAACTGATGCTATAATAGCTATACTCTTTCCAGGGCCAGCGTCTAAGAGGCCTGGCAGCAACTGCCTTACTATCTTAGAAACCTACTGCCATTTAATAAGTATGATTACCCTAAGACCACCATTCTGGGCAAATTTAAGCCACATGCAGAGATCCCACAAGATAAGATGTGAAGAGAGAGAGCAAGGGCAAGGAATAGTGAGGTGCCAGACATGAGTGAAGGAGCCATCTTGGAAGTCATCCAGCCCTAGACACCCCCAGGTGATGCCAAATGAACCTTAGGGCCTGGATGGTCCCTTCCCCTTAGTTTCTGACCCATAAAATAATGAACAAACTAATTTTTTTTTTTACATGGTGACTATAGTTGATAACACTATTGAGAAATTTAAATTTGTTAAGAGAGTAG